AAAACTTGCTTCAGCATTATCATTTTCCAATTGACAAATTGGCCTGAAACTCTAGTTCCATTTATTACCCTTCAGATGCTGCCTGACCTGCTTAGTGTTTCCAACATTTTCTGTTTCTGTTCCAGATTTCAAAACATTCAGTTTTTTTTTCACTTTTTATTGTAATTTTGTCCATTCCCTTCTGGACCATAGGTTCAAATCCAACACAAACAAAGAACACCAATTTAGCCTGATCTCCTCTGGGCATTGGTGGTACCATTTGTAGTGCTGGGAACTTGACACACATTTGTATTGAGCTGCTGAGTAAATATAAGGATAGTAGCATCTGAGAAATACAGATGGTCAATATTAGAGTATTCGGATACGCTATACCTGAGTTAGATTTAAAAGACATTGTTGGAATAGTGTGAGCGATACTGTTTTCCTAATTCATCATGTACCAGGCCTGGGCAGATTGCTGTCAGGGATGTAAAATCTGTTTCCAGTACTGACATGCCTCACTCCAATGAGCACAAAACTGAAATGTACAAAGAAATTGAAGACTAGAATCTTTCACCTGCTGGTGGAATACCAAGCTGCAGAGAAAACCTATAACTTTCTCCTTCATGCAAACAACACAGGCAGACCAGCAGATGGTGATAGACTAGTTTAGATACAAATAGATCGTCCTCTAACTGTTAAAACGTTGAATGTTAAAACAGACTCAAAGGGGTGAAAGTCCTGCTCCTTCCTGTTCCTCTGTTCCTATTGTGTGAGTCTGGTCCAGGCATAAGTTTGTCTTCTCCAGCTGTTGTGAAGGATTGCTGAAGCTTTGAGACTTTTACTGAAATTAAGACAAAAGGACACTGACGATGGACGTTGCGGAGGAAATGAAAACATTCATGACTTCAGCTGCAGGAGTTGTGCAATCTAATCAATTGATGAACAATCCATGGGGACCAAGTCATTGTATTTCCAATTTTAAAAGATTCAAAATGTTACCAAATAGACCTCTTTTGGGTATTTCTGTATAGCATCTTGTACAAGTTGCAGAAAGGCAACCACGCTTTAAGAGAGTTGCAATATCCAAAACAATACTGAGCATTCAAATGGATGAAGTAGATCGTCTTCATTTTACAGCCTGGACTCTCCATTGTCCAAGAAATATCACCTGGCCATTAGACAACAAAGACTTTGTATAATTAAGACAATGAAAGATCCCAAAATGTTCCACTAGACAGCAATAAAGCAATACAGGGGAAAAATAGACACTAAGCCAAAAAACAAACAAAAATTTAAGATCTGTGAACAAAGCTTGGTGGAAGAAGTAGGTTTTGACGGATATCTTCAAGAAGAGAAAGGATTCTGGAGCTTTTAGCTAAAGGGACAGCAATCAATAATGGAGCAAAGGGAGTAGACAATGTCTTGGAGTTCAAAGTTGGAGAAACACAGGTTCTTGAAGTCTGTAGGCCTTGGGGAACCTTTGTATATGGGAGAAGTGAGGCCATCGAGTGATTTGAAAACAAGGATGAGATTTTAAAATCAAAGTGTTGGAGAGTTGGGAGACACAATAAGCTGGTGTGCAGAGGGGTGACAGTTGAACAGAATCCTGTGTGAATTAGAATATAGGTAGCAGAGGTTTGAAGAGGATCACATGCCACATTGTAGGTTGCTTAAACAAGGCTTTCAGGAGCTGCAAATGCTGCATGTCAATAACTGTGTGGCTAAACACATTGCTTCAAACTGGGGCTGGACACCTAGACCTCCTTGTGCTGCAGTAGTTCAAATAGCTTCATTTACTTACCAGCTTAGCTAGTGTTACTGGAGCAAGTGATTATACCCGCAATTTGTATACAACTATTCCAGAAAAGCATCTATAAATCTCTTTGTCCAGCAGTGTCATCATCTTCATCATGTCACCAAGGGAAGCCTGGTGGAACAAAACTAATAGCTGCTATTCCAAAATACAGCTTGATTTAGCTCTTTAGAATATTCCTAAAACCATGGTAGGATAATCTGCTCCTTACAGATAAGCATTTTTGTGGCAAAGTTAAAACATATAAAGTCTCCTCCTTGTGAAGATTGCTGTCTATCCACTCTAAAACAGATGTTCTCCAGATGCAGGAGCTGTGCAACCAATCTGTTTCTCACTGAAGAGCAAGCCAGCAGCAAAACAGCCAGAACTTCACTTGCTCAGTTACTTGGCTTAGTATCATGATGTAGAAAACAAAATCTACATGACAGCGAAGTTCAGGGAATTAAAAAAAACTGCACGCTTAGTTTTGATCAGGAGACAAGCAGCTTTTAGTAAATGGAGAGGGTAGATCTAGCCCCTATCTCCTCACCCACAGAAAAGAAGAGAGCTTTGAGCTTCACATGCGCAAGGTTGAACTGTAACCTGTAGATTTTAGCACAATTCAATGCGCATGATTTGATTTTTCAACCCAACTGGACGTGGTAAACCACCACTTTGTTTTTATTACATTCTATTAACTCATTCATTATCAGCCAAGCTTCTGTACTTCTGGAATATTTGAAGCCTCAACAAATACTGTAGGTGTGTGATTTTTTTTTTCCCCCTGTTTTTGTCCCATGATACCAGGTCACAGCTGAGCTGTACACATCAAACTATCACTGACTAATACAGTGGATCGGAGACTCTGAATGGATGTTCCACATCCATCTCCTCTGTCATCTGCTGTGAAATGGATGATTAATGAAAAGATAACATGCTAATAAAATTCTGGAGTTGCAGAAGGACAAATCCTGGCGACTGCCTGCCCAGAGGAACTGAGTTATGTAACTTGTTGGTGCACTGCCCAATTGTGAGAATTTGGTTACAATTCAGCCTCAACTAATGAGATATGTTTCTTACTTAAGGTTTGAGCAGTCTCGCTCAACTTCCTGCAATTACAAATCCAGACAACTAACGCAGCCGATAAAACAGCACAAGCTTGTGATAAATTGACAGCCTACCTCTAACCGTGGCCCAGAATTGAATATATACTTAAAACGAAACTATCTGCAGGACTGTAGGGAAAAATAAGGGGTAGTGCACCTAATGAAATAGCTCTTTCAAAGAGCAGGCATAGGCATAATGGTCCAAATGGCCTTGTTTTATGTTGTATGATTCTATGGAAGAAATGAAAGTTAAAGTATTTTACTATGATCTGACTGGAGATATTATTGTGGGTGGGTAAAGGAGCTTCATGGGACCAATTAGTTGGATAAATAGCTACCATGAACTTCAGAATAACGGCAATAGTGCAGGGTTCAATCTTGTTGTAGCTGAGGTGTACTTTGAGCCTGCCTTCTCACACTGCTCTGTAAATACAATCATGTCATAAGCTTCTGTTTGACTGCAGTGTGGACCTCAAAGGGTCTGATGTTGCCCTGTCTTAGCTCACACATGCATTACAAAAGCTGCAACTGATGTGCTGTCCAAGCTGATTAAGAGGTTTTGGAATAACAGCAACAGGACTGAGAATGCCAAACTGCGAGGCTACCAAGCATACATCCTCAGTGCATTCCTGGGCAGTCATGAGACTTAGACAACATGCCAGAGGTGGGAGAAAAGGCTGAACAGTTTCCACCATCAATCTGTTATCATCGACATCTCTTGGCAGGAAAGGGTACCAACTCGGATTGTGAAGTGCACTGATTCCATCAGTGTAACTCATTATGAAGCCAATGAGATCTGTGCTGACTTGGCCATGTTCATTGGATAGATGATGGATGACTTCCTGGACATCTGTACCTCTGCAAGGACACCCCCTGCAGGCAGGATATGGAGATGGTGGATATTGACACTGACAGGAGAGGGGCACTGATACTCATGCTGTCTGCTGGCTGACTGTTTGGAAGGGTTTGGGAAAATCTCAGCTGACCCAGAACACAACTCAGAAAACCATGTCTAGTGACTCCTTCTCCGTCCTTTGTATATCACTGAGACTGTCGTGACAGAGTGGGGATCTGTGATGCTTAACACAAGTTGACCTGATCATCATAGCACAAGCCATAATCTTACAGGACAAAAGGCTGCCATTAATAAGCAGTAGTTCAGTGACCTTCTTATTTCACTGAAGATGCTACTGTGAGGAAATGAAGAGGAGGAGCTTCTTTCCCTGGATTCCATGTCAGTGCTGACGGTCACAAATTAGAATGCTTCCCATTCTCCAACATTGACATCCTGCTCTTAGTAAGACCAAGTATTAATCTCTTATAGTTCTTGCTACTTAGCATTAGAATGGCTAACAGCAGCTTCACGAATAAGTTCTACTGCTGTTTACCTCCCTCCCCTGCCACTCCATACTATCCTAAGTTGTATAGAGTCTCAAGGATATTTCTGTTTCTCATGTTATCCAATCTTGTACTTGTGTTGAATGTGACTGCCAAGATACCGGGAGTTATGTTTCAAAACCGCATAAACATTTCCAATGTATTCATTTGGGATGAGAGTATTGTAGAAACATGGAGAGAAAATTTGCATTTTACCAATTGCAATGATATCATAAACTTTGTGGGATGTTTTAACATGAGCAGAATTTTTACTGCAATTGGAAATTGTTTTATAAAGAAAGCATTTATAAAGTTACATAATGATTGCAATTGCCAGAGGGGAAACTATTTCAATAAGACATCTGCAAGTAACAAAACCATGATTCAATGAGCCTCATTTCAACTGGAAATAAAGGAGTGTTCGGAACAAGAGTCAACCATCTTTCTCAGTCATTCAAGGAGACCATGGCTGATCTGCTCCTCAGCTTCAATGTCCTGCCTTTTGCTCCATATTTTAATGTTACGCAATAGAAATTTATCAGATTCTGACCTAGAGGCTCCAATCGTCTGCAGCCCAGTGTTTGAACCTTTTGCAGGAGAGAGATTTCCAAATTGCAACCACTCTTTCCTGATTCTGTTGCATCATGACCAAGGCTTAATTTTAGAGTCATGTGCTTCTTTGTTGATTCGCCCACCCGAGAACATAGTTTGCCCTAACTTATCGTTGCAATTTTTCTCCACAGAAGTGAAAGACTATGAGCCTGCCTTTGGTTCCAAGGTCCGGGAGCATCCCTGTGTAGAAAGCATGAAGGATGTTGTCCTGCGAGATCGGGGAAGACCTGAGATCCCGAACAGCTGGCTTAATCACCAGGTACTTGAACTATTATTGCTATCAGTAAATAACGTTACATCATTCAGCAGCTGGCCTTCTCTTTATTTGTACAGTGTAAGCCAATGAATATAGCTTGCGGATTTTTCAATGCCCAGTCTCAGTTTCACTGAAGTATCGATTGTTTGTAGGCTTTTTCCCAGCCCTTTTAGAGTTTCTACAACTTTCCTGAGCTCTAACATTTAGCTGGACCTATTAAATGGAAGGAGTTGTGCAGAGTCCTAACTAGAGTAAAGCCTGAATGCACAGCTAATGTCCTTCTCAGCATTATTCATTTAAGAGCAACACCTTCCTGTGAGGAGCCTACTTCTGGCTCTTTCTCTCCAATTGGCTTTGATCTTTTGAGCTGTTTTGAGTGACCTATTGTGAACCTCACAACAAGGCCCCATCCCTTTTCCTAGTTGCGTCAGAATGTAGCAAACAGCAGTGGAACTTGATATTGGAACACCAAGTTTGCTGAATCTTACAATATTCAGATTTATGGCTTACTGTGTACAAATGGATAGAACAAAGGGATTTCATCATACTGTGCTCTGGGTCATGAGGCCAGGATTTCCCCCTCAGCCTTGATACTGACACTCACACATGTTTTTATAATTATAATGCCTGGCAATTACAAAGAGCACAAGAAAGTAGACAGCAGCAGTAGGCCATTCAACATCCTCTGCTTCACTTCAGTGAATTTTTGCAGGTATTTTGGTGGATTCCAAGGACACGTTCACCTACAGCCTCTGTGCATAAATTCTAGTCTTATGGAGTCTTTCCTCTCCTTTATACCTTCCAATATGCCTTATAGCCAATAGAGTACTTTTTGAACTGCAGCTGTTATAGTAACATGCCATGTAGTAGCCCATTTGTGTAGTCCTGTAGAGCAACTTATTGATTAGTGGCAGGAAATCGTCTGTTCTAACAGTTTCCTAACAGTTGGCTGTGTCAGCTTAGAGGGGGTATGGTTTTTTTATTCTCTATGTATCTCAGTGAGAAGAAATTCTGGATATCTACAGCATCCATTATTACAATGCTGTTTGATATGGACAATAAGCTCAATCTGCTGCAGGAAACGTGCCTGTAGAAGTACAAGCAGTGTTACTAGAGAGCAGCTGAGAATCCCTCTTAAATATCATTCCACATGGCTGGTACTTGCAAACATACAAAGACATAGCTGTTTATTTTCAGCGCATGCCATTATTTTTGAGTGTCAGAGGCAATAGTGAGATGAAAACTGGCCCCCTATTAGCTGGAAGTACAACTACAGTTTCAAATGTTGAGAAGTGGCCAATGGAGGGGAGAGACAAAAGGCTTGGCAGTCAGAATATTTTTTTTGTGAAGGAGCTTTTCCGACTAACCCTACCTCACCAGCACCACCACTCTCCAACTCTCCACCAAGCCCTGAATGACATGTGCCATGGTGAGAAATTTGGCGCAATTGGCTGAGATGTCCAGCAAGGACCTTTGCAACGTGAGGTTGAATGACAGCCTCATGAGCAAGCAGCAAGAGGCCTATTTGTATGAATTATTGCTCATTAACCCTAACCCTTCCATGAGAATATAGAAAGCATCTTTAGTAAGTTTGTGGGTGACACCAAAATTGGTGGTATAGTGGACAGTGAAGAAGGTTATCTGACAGTACAAAGAAATCTTGATCAATTGGGTCAATGGACTGAAGAGTGGCAGATGGAGTTTAATTTGGACAAATGTGAGGTATTGCATTTTCGTAAAACAAACAAGGGCAGGACTTAGAAAATTAAAAACAGAGCAGTTGGTAGTATAACAGAACAGAGAGACCTAGGGGTTCAGGTACATAAGTTGGTATCACATAGATAGGGTGGTTAAGAAGGTGTTTCGCACGCTTGCCTTCATCACTCAGACCTTTGAGTATTGGAGTTGGGACGTTATGTTGAGATTGTAGAGGACGTTGGTGGCCTCTTCTAGAGTACTGTGTCCAGTTCTGGTGGCCTTGTTACAGGTAGGATATTATTAAGATGGAGAGCCAATATCTTGGGGCACCCTCCATGGGCAGGGACTGCAACCCTCCCCTTCCTCCCTCCCACCCACCCACCCACCGACCTTGGCATCTGACACATCCACCTCAGTTCATCATAGCACTCCTCATCCACATACAGTATAGTTCTGCATTTTAATGCCACACTCTGGTGTGCACCAGTCCCCCTTATTGCAAAGCTGCTGTGAGGACACTTTGCATTCAGAAATGGGCTCCACGCTCATGGTTGGTACCATGGTGCATTTCAAGGATCCTGTGCTGACTCATTTTGTGCCTGCTTTAATGCTCACTGTATTCCAGCTTTGCCTTGATGCACTTCACCCCCTCAGCCACATATAGCATGCTGTCACAGTACTTCTATCTTGAATTGCCATTTAGTGCATTCCCAGGCAGTTTGACCTGGTTGTCAACAGCCATCAGTCAAAGGGGTGGGCATGTTGGTGTAGGCCACCATGTGATGTCGATGTCACACCTGCACCACAGGCTAGCTATATACATGGCAAACATGCTGCATGTGTTTCATCAATTGGCCATGTCTCAAAGTCTAAAGGGAGTAGTCCTCAGTCGTCATGGAGACGCCCTTCAGTCAGAGGGTCCCAGCATTCAAGCCCAAGGCATCATCCGATATCAGTGCACGGGCTTGGACACAGTCAATTGGCCACTCAGACGGTCATGATCTGGATCCCCTTCTCTTGAAAGCAAGGAGATGAATGTTAGGCACCCAGCAACAGTCTCGGCTCCTTCTTTCCGAGTTATAGACTGTTTTCCACTGGAATGAGAGAAGGGGAGGGACTGAGCGAGATGGATGTGGCTGGCACACCTGTTGGTGTTAGTGCAGATGGCGAGAAGGTGGTGAGGTGTCCCCATGTGAGTGAACAGGCAATACAGAGGCCATGCATGGTGAGTAGTCCTGGGGATTAAGTGGATGAGAGTGAGACCGGGAAGATGCTGCATGATTAAGCGAGAATGGTAATATGAGCCTTATGGGATTAGCAGAATAAAATGAGTTTGAGATAGCAGAGAGGAGAAGGTGGTATTTCTGTTGGTCGAGGGAACAGGTCATTGACTTTCTTGCAGCATTGCTGGGCTTTCGACTGGACAGACCAGTAGGGTCTAGTGTCATAGATAGTAGGAACTGCAGTTGGCCACTTCTGCTGGTCCTGGGAAATGAGAACAGCCTTCCTCTGCACCACCACTTCCAGCAGAACCTCTAGGTCCATAGCTACAAAGCAGGGCACAGTTTTCTCCTTATCTGCAACGTCTAGGCAAATGCCTCAAAATGTGTGCACAGCAGCTTCAGAATGCCAGCACTCAACTGGGCGCACAACGGCCTTTTAAAAATGGCACTGATGCCAGGAATCCCAGGTGCTCCAGTTGTCATGAACACTTCTGCCCACACTGAGTGGGAGAATCAGACTCGCATCAGACAAGAGGAGGAACATATATAGTTAATGAGACATGTTTGGGAAAATAGTGCGGAAAAAAACTTGAAGCCTCTCGAAGAGAAACCCTCCATGAAACCTAACGAAAATGGCAATTAGCAATTCCTGCTAAGATTCAACCTCCCATTTTCTGCAACACCACTGAGGCTGATTCAGTCACTGCTCTGAACTTTCCACAATGACTAATGCTTTGTACATGTATATGCATCACTTCAGGTAAGATACAGCTGACATTGCCATAGGAATATATCCTCAAGTCAGCCATTGCTGCTTCATTTGTAACAATCTATCTTGCCCAACAGCTTACAGCAATATTAAATGTACCACTGGAGACAAGATTGAATTCCTAATTTGAAGCAAGTAACCATTGGTTGAGGCTGCATCAACAAGTGCCTTTCTGTTTTTTGGAGCCTGTGTATATTTAGCCAAAATTCATGTAAACATTGCTGTTTCTCCCTCTGTCTTCCAGCTTATACAGCATTTATGTGAAATAATTGTGGAATGCTGGGATCACGATCCAGAAGCACGGCTGACAGCACAGTGTGTAGTCGAACGCTTCAATGATCTGGAGCAGATGGACAAGCTATCTGGTCGGAGCTGCTCCGAGGAGAAAATTTCAGAAGATTGCTCTGTCAGTGAGACCAAACAGAACCTGAGTGCAGTCACTGTGGTGTAAAGGATAGCTGGTGGACAAGAAAAGGACAAAGAGGAAGAGCCTGTGGTCAGGTGGGGGCTGTTTGATAGAACATTCACATCACCCCTTCAAAAGAAACTCTCATGTTACTTAACAAAGGGTGGACCATTCGACACGAAAAGTGTGAAATTCTAGGAATTGAAAAGAAGGCTGGAGTATGTTGTTTTGTCATAGGATTACAAAACTCTGACCAGCAACTTCTCAGGAAACCAAAGATTCCATCATGTAATGCTTATCCTTGCACTTTATTGGTTTAGAAGTGTATACCTCGAGGAATTTTCAATGTTTCTGTTCCATATCCAGAGAATGGTAGTCACATGGATAAATGTACCTCTTTCATGACATTAAAGAATTGTATACAGCGACAAGCACTTAGAAATTCAACATTTGCCCCTTTTTCTCCCCTCACCCCTCAAGTTTGCTTTTTCATTAATTTATTTACTTGTTTGGTATACTATAGGAACAAATTCACCTTGCATGCCCTAAAGAACATTCTTCTGCCATTGTGAATTAAGAACAAAACACTGTGGGCTACTCAAGAGTAAAAGCAAAAATTGGACAGTTCTAGCACTAAGTAGAGATCAAAGCTGAAGGAGCCTAGTCTAGGTCCAACATGTCAAAGATGGATATTAATCCCTGGTGTTTGACTGAAATGGACACTGCTAGCAAAACATTACCAGTGCGAAGTTAACCCAAATTTATTCATTTTGATTAAAAAGTGGGTTCTGTTGATTTGCTGGCCTGATAGTGGACTAGGGATAATTGATTTACAGAAATGACAGGAGAATTATCATTCACATGATCATAGTGATGACAGAAATGCATTTGGGGAACTGTGGTTCTCACATCTTAACACATTTAGTCAGTGGAACAACTGATCTTAAGTCTGAAGCCATCATCGGCAGAGCTCAGGAAGGAAATGATAGGCTTAATACTTTGTCTAAAATACCCATCATCATCATCAGCCTGCCCAATAAAATCATCAGTGCTCTGACTAGTTTACATTGATTCAATGGAGTAGTGTTGCTTCAGAGGGCAGTTAAGCATCAGTCTCATTAGAGTGTAATTGGAGGTATGTATAGGACTAGACCAAATTGGGATGTCAGATCTTCTTCCTTTTTCAGGACATTTAGGTGCATATTTACAACCATCTGACAGCCTCACCTTTTAGTGCCCAATTCACCCCAAATTTATAGGTGGCTCACAGGTGAAATAGTAATTGGGGAGTCAGGGCTACTGCTGGTAGCATGGAGCTAGATCAGAGCCTTCTGTGGATGTGGGAGGGAGGAGTTAGCTTTGGGCTAGTGCAAATGAAAAGGCTAACAATTGTGTTAATATCATATACTCTGATATGCACAGGCTTTGTCATTTATGTCTGATCTGGTGAGGACCCTACTGATTGCCCAGCACAGTAGGCAATGCAGCATTTTGGATGTGGAATGAGAATTTCTGAAGAAAGGCCTGAAGGGTGCAATGGTTCATCTAATTTTTTTTCTAATCTGTACAAAAGTCTGTTTGGCCTGGTCCATGGTATGGTAGAATATAGTTTGCATCATGATTTGTCATATTGATTGTAATCTTTTTGAGACTGCAGACTTTTTTTTAGCTAGTATAAAAATAACTGTTGCATGGCCCAAGTCTCACATTTAGAGCAGTTCTGTCAGACTAAACAATGGAATCAACCTGTGAAAGTGTGAGATGAGCAACCAGAACCAGGATTGTAATGTTGGCTCTGATTTGTCATTTGTATGTCGAGGATGTCTGATTCTAATTACTAAAGGGTGTTTGAAATGAGTAAGCTGCCTCCATTAATAATGCATGAGTTTCAAGGAAGAAATATGATTTCTCCAAAGATGGGGTGGTTTTATTTTTGAAACCAAATAGCTTCAATAGTAACTTGGCCTGCCCCACAAAATAACTATCCCTTGCAGTTTCTCCTCAATCAGTAATTGGCACATTGTAGACATTGTTGAGGCACAAAGGAAAACGCTGTAATACTTTTAACACCAAATCAACAATAGGAATGACATTCTCAGATCTTACCACATGGTGGCAAATACTACATTGTAGATTAGGGTTAGGAATGAAATCCATGCTGAAAAGTTTAAATTCTGATGATGGGGTACATAGACTAGTCTGATTATTCACTCGAATATAGATAATTCTGTGAATCAACTTGAGGTGTTTAGAGTCATTAAAAGATTTGAGTGGGGAGACAGAGAGAAACTATTTCCTCTGGCTAGGGGTCTCAAACAAGTGGGCACAAGATAAAAATTAGCACTAGCCATTCAGGAAGCACTTCGTCACACAAAGGGCAGTAGAAATCCGAAATTGTCTTTATTTTTCAAAAGCTAACAAAATTAAAATTTACAGCTTCTGAATGATAGGAAAACAGAATGAAGACAGGTAAATTGAGATTCAAGCAAACCTAGTAGAATAATGTATCAGGATTGCAGGGCTGAAAATACCTACTTCTTTGTTCCATGGATCCAAAAGAATTTGGTGAAACATGGTTGCCTAACCCATTGTCCAGAGAATTGTGCATCCTATTAACATGCAAATATTGCTTGGAAGTGAAATAGTATACTGAGAGTTCTTCACAGCAGACTGTGATTATTTTTTAAAAGATTGCAAAATTTAAGCTGCACACACATAAAACTGACTATATAAACTGGCTCCCGTATATTGGTTTTGCAGGGCTTGGAGATTAATCAAGGTTCAGGACTATAAGCTGCTTGAATGTATTTTTATGAAATTGTCAATATATATAATCATTTTTATATCTTTTTGTAAATGCTGGAGTGCTCAACTTATATTAAGTGCCTACACTATTGTTTTAATACAAATCGTTGACATTTATGCTAAAATTGTGAGGTGATATTTTTCATAGGATTAATGTGTCTGATGGTTCTTTCAAAAGCTTTTATTTTGAAATGATAAAGGGACTTCCAGGCAATCTCAGGACAAGTCATTGGTGACCTGTCACTTGTAGCACGCTCTCCATTCATTACCTAACATAGTGTACAATTTTTTTAAAGTGTAAAGTTGTCCAAATAGGTTGCTGTACCAGTTTCCATTGGTACCAATATTGCATGAATCTAATCCTTAACAATCCAATCACCTCATAACGAATGGGGTAAACAAATATGCACAATCATTTTAAATTGTTTTTATTTCAGAATGCATGCATTGACAATTACTTTGACCAAGCAACTTCATTAATCTAACAGCATTGGTATTTTTCCACTTTTGAGCTTTGGTCTTGTGCACAGGCTAGTATGAAACTCTTTACCAAATAGCTTGGTCCCATCAACCTTAGACCATCCAAAAAAAGGGAAGAGATAGGCTAATTCTTAATTAGGAATTCTATTTAGAATAAAATCCCATTTTGTTGCATTTATTTACAAAGAAAACCTCACATGGTGTTTGGATGTTTTAACACACACAAGCCATTATATAACAAATTGTTACAAACTCGATGCCTTGGGACTTCAGACTATTAAATAGGAATGAATGTATATTGGTGCACAGCAGGGAAATAGAAAAATTTATCTGAATGATTAACAAATGTATTTTACTCTGTTTAAAGCAATATCCAATCTTATATGTACGTGTGTAAATGCACACACATATAGAAATAATTATCTTTGCAATGTAAAGAGAGTATTGTATATATTAAAAAGAAATTATTACACATTATTTGCATCTCATTGTATAAATAAAGAGTTCTAAATTCCTCTTTTGTGTCAAGTACTTTTCAATTCTTTCTAAAGTTGCTTATTGTCACTGGGGAAGCAGTTAATATTCATTCATGCCAATTGCATGAATTTCCTTAAATCTAGCATTGGAATGCAATATGTATAAGTTTAGATATGGTGTGGTAATTATAGCATCATTAGAATCAACAAGTGACTTTGGATTTATGGTTTGCAAAGCTCTTGAGCACTGGGATCTTTCACATTTGACCATTAGATGAAGATTAATCATAAAAATCCATCAGTAATAGTGTTATTGTATTGTGCAACTGTCAGGACAGAAGAAGATAAATTAGATAAGTCTTGGTCTCTCTTTTGATCTAGCTATTCCTATGCTGATATTTAGCCCCTGCTCTTAATGGAGACAATAGGCTGGATATTCTGTGTCCCCATCAGGTGAGCTTTTAGCAAGAGGGGCAACCCAATAATGAATGGAAGTCCCACTACCCACTATTTTAGCCTATCCACAATGTGCTGTTACTGGAGCAGGCTTGTTCTATCAGGCTGGTCACTGACTCTCCTTTTGAGGGGAGAGGAGAGCCATCCACACCTCTGTAAATTTCTGCCCAATGGCATGGCCTAGTTAGTAGATTTTTGACTAGCTGTTGTGGGAATGGGTTTTCTGTGCTTTATCTTTGGAAAGCATATTCATTATATCAAAAAAGATGAGAACGCTCCAAGAATCTCGTGTCCTTCACAATGACAGAGATAAGTTCATCTTTCATTACCAATTAGGATAGACTTTCTGTAAGATTGATATAATTAGGGCACAGTAATCAATGTGCAGTTTGGTCACTCATCCATAGAAAGAAATTAAACCAATAAAAAGCATACAGCATAGATTTATCAGGTCAGTGTACAAAGTTTGAGAAACCATTGCAATGAGAGACTTGAGATTTTAGGATTGTCCTCAAATTTCTTCAATGCATTGACATCCTTTTGATGGATGCCCACCTTATACTGCATGCAATGTATTATTGCGTCAATCAGTGATATAGGTTTTATGGAATCTGTTCATAATTGTGATCAAATGTTATTAATATGCTTTATTTAATATTCTCAATCAAATCTACACCTTGTGAAATTTAATAAAGTTGATCTCAAATCCCTTCATTTTCCACTTTTGCCAATTGATTGTAGACGTGTTTCATGTCCAAGTATGTCTAAGTTCCATTTGGCCGTACTGAAATCTATTTTTCAGCCCATCCCCTTAATGGCTTCAGATTGCTGCAAGTGCAAATGATCTTTAAACCACTATGAGGCTAAATAATTTTGAACGAATTGGTATATTGGGTCCTTATTGATGAGTAAGCAGCTAGAAATCCAAAGAAAAGGACTCCAATATATGTTGCTCCCGTGGTAGGATGTGAGTGCAGTGGTAGTGTCTCTACCTCTGAATTAGAAGGCCCGGGATCAAGACCCATCTACTCAAAAGTTGTGTAATGACATCTCCAAACAGGTTGAATAGAAAATAACTACACTCCTCCTGTACCACTATCACTTGTATCGATTATTATCATGTATCTTATCTTGCGTGTGTTCAGTCCAGTTAGCTAACTTGTTATTTCAGTTATCCCCTACTTTAGAGTGAATAAGTTTACTTGTCACCCAGTAGGTGAGTTTATGCATCATACAAAATCAGGACAAGTTTGAAATAAAGAACAAGAACTGGGAGATCAATGGATGCAAGGAATGGACAAATGGTACTTTGTATGGAGTAGGAAGTGGACGATGGCATTCAGGATGACTGGGCGTTTATGGAGTAAGGTGGAATAAAGGAGTCCAGACAGCTCGGGATTGGAACAAAATATGTAGGTTGGATTTTAATTATTGAGATGAGGTAAGGACAGAGTTCGGTGACATTCCTGAGGTGCAAGAACATAGGTTTGGTGATGGACCGCCAGGGATTGCTTTTGGGAGTTTTGAGAGTTCTGAGGAAGGGTCACCGGATCCGAAATGTTAACTTTGATTTTTCTTCACAGATGCTGCCAGACCAGCTGAGCTTTTCCAGCAACTTCTGTTTCTTTTTCGATTTCTTTTCTTTTTTTTTGCATTGGGAACGCAGTTTTACAGCTTCTGACAATGGAGTGAAAAACACGGCTCATTGTTTCCTTTTCTAGGTCACAAGCTTTTCTGGCTCATCATTACCTGGAGACCAACTTGCATCCACATGGCTGACACTTGTATGGACAGCACGTTTTTAGATGTAGACACCCCACAGTTTAAGGAGGTGAAATCAGGGAAAGAACAGATGACTGCCAGTCAGAAGAAGGGAGACAGGCAGGTTGTCAGAAAAACTCTAGAGCACATGTCACTCAAAACATTTTGTATTTGTTGGAAGACAGTGAGTGTGATGGTTCCTCTGGGGAGTGCAGCCAGCATACAAATACAAAAGGGTGGGAAGGAGGAGAGGAACAGCAATAATGGTAAGAGGCTCAATACTGAGGGATACAGTTGGGTGTTTTAGTGGGTCACAGACATGAGTCTAGGAAAGTGGGAGGCTAGGGTCACAGATATCACTGAATGGCTGAAGGGGAGACCAGAGATATAGGCAAAGTTCAATGAAGTGTAACAAAACTAGAGTAATAATAAGGACTTTCAACTTCCCTAATATTAACTGCGACAAGGTGTGAAAGGCTGAGAGGGGGCAGAATTCTTGAATTGTGCAAGGGAGAGCTTTTTAAAGTAAGAGGGTAGTGCTGGGCCTAATTTTGGACACAAAGCCAAGCAAGAGATGGAAGTGTTAGTGGGGGTGCATTTTGGCCATAGTGGCCATAACGTTGTTAGATTTTTATGGTCATTATGAAAAAGGACAAAGTTAGACTGAAAATAAAGGTTCCAAATTGGGGAGTATTAATTTTAGTATACTAAGACAAGATCTGGCAAAAGTGAACCAGGAACACCTACTGGTAGAAAAAGTGGGAGCCAGAGCAGTGGAAGTCATTTCAAACTAAATTTGATTGAGTTATTTTTGTGAAATTGACTAGGTGTGTGGATGAGGGTAATGCAGTTGATGTAATCTACACGGACGTCAGTAAGGCTTTTGACTAGGTGTTGCATGGGAGATTGTTCAAGAAGGCAACGGCTCCAAGGCAAATTGGAACCAAAATTAGCTTAGTAGCAGGAGACAGAGGGTACTGGCTGAAGTTTGTTTTGGCAACTGGAAATCTGTGTCCAGTAGCATGCTGCAGATTTAGGTGCTGGATCCCTCACTCTTTATAGAGTGTATTAATGGTTTAGACATGATTATTGAAGGTTTTATCAGTAAGTTCACTAGTGACAACCAAATAGGTGATGTGATAAATAGCAAGGAGAAAAGCTTTAGACAACAGGGAGATATAGATAGGCTGGTCAGATAGGCAGAACAATATCAAATGAAAAGTGTAAAAAGTGATGCATTCATGGAAGGACTAACAACGTGGAGTACATGAAGAATCATAGCACCCTGGGTAGTACTAAGGATCAGCAAGACCTTGGTGTACATGTATACAGATCCTTGAAGGCAATAAGTCAGGTAGATAGGATAGTTAGGAAGATTTATGGGATACCTGTCCTTATTAGTCACGGAACAGAAGAACTGGTGTTAGAGGTGGAGTGCAATAGAGCAGTATTGGATCACAGCTGAAGTACTGTGTGCAATTCTGGTTGCCAGACTATAGGAAGAATGTGACTGTACTGAAAGGATATTCACCAGGTTGCTGCTCTGAAGCAAGACTAGATAGGCTAGAGCTGTTTTTCTTAGAATAAAGAAATCTGAGGGGGCACCTGATTGAGGCTTACAAGATTGAGATGCATAATAGGGCCAATGGGAATAAACAGTTCCACCTAGTAGAGAAGTCGATTACTAGGGCTGTAGATTTATGGTAAGGGGCAGAAGGTTCAGAGGGGATTTAAGGAGAATTTTTTTTCATTCAGACCACAGTGGGTATCTGAAGCCCAGTGCCTAAAAGTGTGGTAGAGATAGGAATCATTACAACATTTAAGAAGTATTTAAACACTATAGCATACAGAGCTACAGACTAAGTCCTTGGAAATAAGATTAGAGCAGATAGGTGCTTGATGACTGGCACAGGTATGATGGGCTGAAGGGTCTCTTTCCATGCTGTAATATTCTATGACTTGTATGACAATGACAGCACCTAGTAATAGAATCAAAGGTTAGTAGGAAGGGTAAAGTTGGATACCATTGATATACCCAGCCAGGTGATCCCATGTTTGCAGATAATATCACCAAGAGTTATCCTATGAATGAGGATACAGCAGCATTTTAGGGTGAACTCGAATTGACCCTGCAGACACGAAAGGAGGAACTATTATAGGAGATCTATTGCCTGACTCAAAATTAATAAGCCTCTCTCAGATAGCAAATAACATAAAACATCATGATTTTGCTGCATAAACAGAAGACGCAAGTGAACTTTTTTTCACTTCACTGCATTAAATAAAGAAGTCTGACTTTTATATGTTGAAACATAAGTTATCACTTCAAGTCTCATTCAAGTACACTCAGCCCCATAAATTAGGTGTTTAAAAAAAACCCTACTGGTTACATTTTGATATTTTGGTTCTACTTTAGGTTAAATGGTCCAAAATACCTACAATGCCACTTGTTATAAAATAATGCTGAAACTCCACATTTTAGACATTCAGAGTAGTTCAGTGGAGTCCAGTCCATTAGACATAAACACGTATATCATTCGTAATAGCGCAATGTAACTAGGAGTTAAATAGTACTGTAACACAAATGACAATCACTTAATAAGCTGTTTTACTTTCTGATAGAGTGTTTGTCTAAAGCCAACTTCCGCAATGACATACAGTGTAAGAGCTGCAAACTATACAATACACACTTGGAGTTTTAGAGAAAGGAAATCAGGCGACCTCATTCATTCAGTAAAATTCAAATCTCAGATTTGTTTTATTGTCAATTGATGATTTTACAGTTTTGTTTGTTACTATGAAGGTGTATTTCAACATTTAACTGAAGGACAATAA